TAAAAATGAACAGCAATGGATGGCACAACCGAAAAATACAATAAAATAATTCATGAAGTCGTAAGAGGAGGGCGTAAGGGAGACAAAGAAGACGTGTTAGCTGTTGGCCTCCTCATCGGTTTTTTGGTCCTCGTCCCTTGGAAATACAAAGATTGCGCTGGGACTTCGGCCTGCAACAAACCTACTTACTGGAGCGGAGGACAAGCTGCGTCGTGGGGTCTCAAAGGCTAAGAAGGGAGGTGCAGAAGAACAAACACCAACCTCATCAGCGACTGTGATGTGTCCATGGCAGTGGGACACCAACAACTTCACAAAGGCAGAGCAGAGCGACCGTTCAGCGAAGCATAACTGCAGCGTAAAGCCTACGACCCCACTAAGACGCGCCATAAAAATTTGTGCATCCACAGTAGGCACCACTGACTCAATACGCTGCACATATGGGTACTTTACTTCTCCAATCACTCCATTATTTACTATATCCAGTACGCTTGCCTTCCTCAACCTTCCGGGGCTTGGCTGAACCACGTCTTCAGCCCTGGCAAAAGAAACCTTCATGGAATTCTGTCCCATCTGAACCGAGACGGCGTCCCCTGGTATAAATGGCTTTCTACGTTCATGCACATTGAACGGATAATTGGCACGTTCTAGCGGCAGCAAGAGCTTCCACAACGTTACCGATCCAGGACTGGAAAAGCCAAGCTCGACCGAATCAAGCGCTAGAATTTCCTGCGGAAGAAGACTTTTTGCAATGCGGTCATTTTGCAGGTTTTGGCCAACTCCCGACGCGGTATCAATACCCGATTGCCGTGTCGGCCTGTGTGTGAGGTGATACTCTATTACACGGGCAGTAGACGGCCGACGGTTTTCTGGAACTGGCTCCTCCGCATAAGAAGGTCGTAGCGACCTCCGCGAGGGAACACCCATGGACACATTTCGACTCCTTCGCCTCCTGGAGATTGATAAATGCGCCGCGCTCTGGCGGCGCAAGCTCCCTGGACTTGCGGATAAAGCACGGGGCAACCCCGTCGTCTCACCCAGTTGACGGCTGTAGGAGGACCTCATTCCGGTGTTTCCGTTGTTGATACTATCTTCTCGCCGCGGCTGCAAGTTCGTTCCGCCGCACATTTAAAGAGAGGCGCGCAGGGAACAATAAAATGGCCAATAAAGACGGTCATGAGGGAGGGGGGGAGCAAAGACATAAAGACGGAAAGTCAAATGGGAAGGAATGAACTCGGCGACTGCCGCTACGTGAACGAGAAGGGGGTGCAAGAAAAAAAAAAAGAGTTCGTGCAGGCGTTTTATGACCAGCAGACCTCCGTTATAAGCCAAAAAAGTGTCAGTCTTTAAATCTCCCGCAACCGTCGGCTCCATCAGCGCAGCTGGCATTATTACTAGCAGCAGTGGGTGATTGGGCAGGGAAGGGTTAAGCAAGACACTCACTCGCGCATTGAGCCTTGTCGAGCCCTGACCCTTATTCCTGCAAGGCGGCAAAAAAAAAGGACGCTATACCATATTCAAAGCTTGACACTAGACCGCCTCGCTCACGCGAGGCAAGTACATTCTATCTTCCTTCTCCTTCTGGCATTTCAACGTCGGCGCTGCGCGGCGCACAGGGCACCTCCCACCGCCTTCACTCACTCAAACCAGGAAGACCCCTACCCGGAGGAATGAACTAAAATCGAATGTCGCAGTGGTTTTGCCTTGGGATTCAGCATGGAAAGCGTCGTTGGCCTTGGCGACAAAAATAGACATTTCAATGTAGTCATCCAGACCAAGGCCTCCCTGCTTTCTGCGATCAAAGTGCCGCATCAATCCCTGAAAGACATCATCACATATCTGGTACCCATTCGCCCGAAGCGCCGCACGCACCTCATCCCCTTCTAGGCAACCGTCGCGGCTCGTGTCACGCTGGTTAAAACCATCTCGCATTGTTTGAAAGTAACGCCGGAATTCCTGGAATTCTGCCAGGTTAAGCATCCCGTCGACATCAAGGTCAAACATGGACAAAAGCCGCTCCGTTGTCGCGTAACTAAAGCTTTTCCCAGCCACGCTCAGGGCGGAATTGAGCATTGGAACATCGATGCGACCTCCAGTTGACCGACTAACCGTTTGGAACCAATGCAACGCGTCTTGCTCCGTGCAGAGCGGAGGACGCTGAATCGGCGGTTGCACGGATGGTGGCGCGGAGTAACCAATCCCCGCTGGATACGGAGAGGGTTGCAGCGGATACGGATAGGCGTACGGTGGCTGGTAAGACATTCAAGCAAGCAAGCGGCAAAACAACTATAGTAATAAATAGCCTTGCTGGATAACGGAAAAGCAAGAAGAGAAAGACGGGAAGGAGAGCAACAAGGCTGCGGGCAGAGGGACGCCGCAAACGGTGCACATCCAAGCCAGCTGCACATGCTGTGAGATTCCTCGCGGCCATCTGGCAATATATATATATCTCTCCTCCTTCATTCTCACCCTCGTTCCTCTCACGCACTGCTGCAATGGTTTTTTTTATTCTTCCTCTTTAAAGAGGAATAATAAAAAAAATCTTAAAAGGGTGATCACGCACGCACAACAAACGTAAGATGAAGTGAGGGAGGAAGACGGCCACAACTCAACCTGTGAACGTGCACGCGCACCTTGACATACATACACAAGGAAAAGAGAAGGAACTACGTAGGAAGTGGGAAAGGAATAAAAGGCGAGCCTTAACGCAAATGGGAAAAATCCTCAAATTCCTCCTCATCCTCGTCTGCGTTGACAGCCAGCGTGGGCTCCACCTCATCCTCTGGGTTGCCATTCTCGTGCACCACAAAATCCGCGTCAATGTCGAGGCACTGCTGAATGGCAAACAACAACCTCTCCCGCATCACCTCCACCGAGCTGTATCTAGGGATAGAGAGCCAATAAAAGCAAGTCGAGGCGTGAGGTAGTCGATTGTCATCGAACGCATCAATAGAGGCTTCAACACCGCCACCGCCACCAGCAGCATCATCACTGTTCTGGGCACCGGCGCTCCCTGTGGTCTCATTTCGTGTCGGACGCGAATGGATATCCGGCATCAGTTTTAACCGCACACCCAACGGGAGCCGCTCTCTGCCGCTGACAAAACGCATAAAAAGCGCGCGTTCGTGGCGCGAAAACTGTCGTAGCACCTGTCGAAGATACTGCACGCTAACGTCATTTGGATCAAGATCTTCGTAGCGGGCGGCATCAATGAGCGCATCCGCGTCGTAGTCGGGCTGACCGCAGACCACATGCTCGAGTTCGTACCACTTCAACAGTGACACAGCGGCAACAGGCACCACCTGATGAAACCCCTCGGCGATTGCCTTAATTTGTGCGGCCCCCATGAGGTGTAGCTTAAACCGCAACGCCATGTCAAGAAACATCTCCACATTATGTCGACCCACGGGCACTCCCTTACCGCCCGGAAAAAGTTCCTGCTCCACCCCCGCATCGTCCACGAGAGAAAATCCACCAGGGCAAAGCCCCGCAATCTCCTCGTCGCTGGTCGCTTCGCCTTGTTTTGACGACACCAGCTGACCTATGTAGTGGTAAGATTGCACCGAGGTCTGGTCAACCACGCGGAGGTCACCCTCGTCAACGGGGGTCCCCACCAACGCCTTCCAGATACGACTAGGAAGATAAATGGGAAGAGGCTCTGAGCTGCGCAAACAGCCCGCAACAAAACGACCAAAAAACTGATACATGCTGAGGCGTACAGGCGGTTCCATAACTGGACGAACCACAAAAAGCTCACGTGCATCTCCAATGTCATTGACTTGATTGGGACTTGGAACAAAGAGCGGAAGACCTGGACTCATAAGCTCCGAGCAAAGCTGCGTGATACTCTCGCGGTACGGCCCCCCGATATCGTCGGCACCTTCCCCAACAAAATTCACAGACCACAACTTCCTGCTTGTGCAAAAGAGGGAAACACTCTTGTCATGTAGGAGGTGATACACCTGCCCAAAGAGGCTCCCACGCAGACGCTCGGAAACGGGAGCATCGAGGTCATTTACAAGTGACAGTGCCTTCCGTCTATTCAGTGTCAGTTTGATGTTTTCTCCCAAGCAATTTGTATGCGAGAAAAAACCCTGGAGTATCCGCAAAACCACCACCGGCAGCAGATACTCCCGACACTGCCAAAGCGAACGAGAAATAGGGCCTGAAAGAAGCGTGTCGTATTCTCCATAAGTAAGAGCTGCGTGGGCGTATGGAATCATGCATTCAGTTAAGCCGGAAAGATTTTGCAGGGTGACAAGCAGACGCAAGGCATTCTCACGTCCTTCAAACCTCTCATAACGGATGTTGCTATCATCCTTATTAAGAACGTCCTCTAGACAGTAGGCTGAGGCGTTTCGAAAGTTCAGTTCCGTCAAAGATGTTAAGGAGGAGAGCAGGAAACGAGCCAATGTAGGCGAAAAAGCCGGCCCAGTCAACTTTTGCCCGTGGTCGTTACGCTCCAGGTCATCTGTACAATAATGCTGTTCAACTGCCAGTCGCATGGGATTTGCCGTACTAAGTGCACGGTAACCGCGTGGACGGAATGACAACTCATCGTCGAGGAAAAAAATGGATGCCGCATTCTTTGGGTCCACACCAACCACCGGCATAATTCCATTTACACAGTTCACGGAGGAAAAGAGTACACCATCGCCGTTGGTGTCATGCATTTCTCGGAGCGGTGTGCCATTGACACTGTAGGCAATTGTGCCAGCATCACAGTCCACCATGCAACCTACAATGTCTCCGTGTTTCCACATCTGTCCACCTACGCTGCGCTGATGCTTGTTGTGTCGCGCCGTCGTTCGGCTTCCTTCCAGCACCCATGACTCATCATCATCGCCCAGTGACTTGGTGCGAGACCAGTCTGGAGTTGCGGTGGAAGTGACCCAGCCGACACTCACCAAGGCCTCTCCACGAAGCGCCACCTCGTAGTACCATCGTCCCTGCCGAACAGAGACGCTACCCCGAACAAAGCACGGATCATCCCCGGCACGTACTTCACTCCCTTGCACCGTCACCGTCCTCGCCTTATTATCACAAGGAAGAAGGCTCACACTGTACGGGCCGCTGCGACCTGCTTGGTACACCATTCCAGCATCATTGGCCTTTTCAAAGAGACTAGGTAAATGAAGAGTCTCATCCTTGGAAAAGGGGGCGTCGGCCCCACGACCCGCTTTGTTGTAACCCTCCCTATTCTTGCTGCTTTTGCCGCCGCTGCTGCCACTTCTAGAAAGGGCTTCCCCAACCTCGACAGCAGTGAGGAGGGTCCAAAGTTTAGACGTGGGAGACGCCACGTAGTTAGACGGGTCCACGGGAAGGTAACCCACCGGCAGACTGCAGGCAAACGGTGCCGCACCAAAGTTGACATCCACTCCGCCCGTACCAAACGAGACAGCAGGGAAGAAAGACGTCGTCGTATCGTTGCCGCGACTGGCTCGTAAATTATCAAACATACTCACCTGACGGCCATCATGCACACACGCTAGAGTTTCTGCCTCGAGGTCCAAAAGAATTCCAATGACGTCAAGCGCCTTCCACTTGCTTCGAACAGCAAATTCATGACGAAACCCGTGGTAGAAGCGGCACATTTGCACACTTTCAAATCCCCAGGAGTCGCCATCGTGGCCAAGTCCTCGTGGAGCCAAGACGGAGTGCTGTTGAGCGCGATCCGTGACAACGCCAACAGAAATAGCCTCTCCACTCGCGGGAATGCGAACCTCAAAGTAAAACCTTCCACGCTTAAATCCAACGCTGCTGCGGGCCGAAAGAGAAACTCGATCGCAGGAGGCATACCAGACACCATTGCCTCGTTGAAATATAGTGGCTTTGGGGCGATGCTGCACCGGAGAACCTGAGGTGGGGAGAGGCACCAGCCGCACATATCCGCGCTCCACCACGGTGGGATCCTGCCTACCGATGACGACCGAGGAAGGAGTCACAGCAGAGGCGCCATAGCCAATGGAAGTCTCCCACAGCGAGAAGAGACGCTTCCACCGAAGTCGCGTAGAATACGAATGACTAATGTTTTTCCAAGCTGCCTCAAGGCGAATGGCTGCCACAAGAAGCTCAAATGCCCCTTGAACCCGAAGATTGTAGTGACCCAGCGCCGGAGACAATAATGGAGGACCGTTGGGTGTTATTTGTCCACGGTGCAGGATAGACATCAGCGACACGTTAAGATGTGCCAATACAAGCTTAAGTGGACTGTGGTCGTGCGGAGCAAAATGGGGAATTTGCCGCCATAAATCAAGCAGAGCTGTTAACAGCCGACACGCAGGCAAAGCAGAGCACTTCGTCGTTCCTGTGCGGACCGTCAACAACGAGAGATATGGCGTATTCAAAAAATATGTCCAACCACAGTGATATTTAGTATGCGAGGTTAACACGTCACGTATCGCCCCAAATATCCCGCAAGCGACAAGCGGCTTCAACGATCGCGCTGATAGCGTAAAAGACGCCGCCGCAGCCCGTGTGCTGACGATGGGTCTAGCATAAAACCAAGGGCTGTCGCCTGGGATCTCCAGCTCTGGCCAACCACCTTGTGCATCCGGATATTTGGCAAGCAACACTTTTTGTTTTCGGTCCCGCAAGAGTGTCATGTGTTCAATGCCGCGACTGTTCGCATCAAAGGAGACAGTGCCACCTGGCCCATTAAGAATAGCGATGGGTACCAACTGAATATCTGTCGTCACATATGAAAACGGTGGAAGTTCCATGCGGAATGACTCTGCCTCATCATGCAATGCCTCACTAATGGCAAGTGCGGCTTCGCGAAAACTGTTTGTCATTAGCTTTTCCGTTGGAATCCAACCAAAGCACAACTTGATGAATTCCGCGACGGCCAGCATCGTCTCGTCGCTAACCGCCCCGGTATCACTGTACCGCAACAAATTTATAAGGTGCCGCACAAGGTCATTGCTCGCAATGAGATGGCGTGGGTTGAGGAGCTCCGTGGTGGACGCCCCGCCATCGCCGCCGCCTCTTTGCGCCGACTTCGTGTCCTCATGCCGCTTTCGGCCCTTCTCCATGACCAAGACTTGGTAGCCGGGCGACACCATCTGACAAATGGCCGCCACCACGCACTGTCGACTGAGATGGGCGCAAAGTGTCTGCAGGTATTCGCAGCCAATTCTCAAAAGCTGGCTGCGGTCAAGTGCAGCAAAGAAACCCTCAAACTCTCGCCGTGGAATAAACAGCGGAAGTTCCATGTGAGTTGTCGGGTCAATCCGAGAAGCCTTTTCCAAATTAACGGCACCAGAAAAGACGGGAAAGGGAGCCCAGCGCGCGTTCCCGCGAAGGGTTCCAACACTCTCCTTGTTATCCGAGAACGTCTCATCTCCGGTGGCTTCTGAAAACCGAAACGTCGTCTGAGGGCCCTCCGAGGCTCCGACAACAGGCAGCATCTGCTCACGCGCCACAAAGTCGGCAGTTGTACGTTGCGCCTTGAGCCCACGCGCACACCCCCAGACACGAACACTTTCAACCGCCACAATCACCCCGTCCATTGCGCAGTCACCAGAAAACTGATGCCCGTCTTTGTTCTCGTTGTTGTTGTTGTTGGTGGTGGCGGTGGCGGTGGCGGTGGCGGTGGCGCTAACGTTCGCCAGCCGAGCTCCGTCGGAACTTCTACTGGTGTTTTTGCTACCGGGCAGGCCACCAGGCGTCTCGTCGCCGATCACGAGTCGATCGACTGCGCCATCGCGAAGAAGCGTCTCCAGGCGCGAAGCGGCCACTTTGGGCAACGCCGCCGTTGTGCCAACCCCGTCCTTGTAGAGCGTCACCGCACCACTTTCCAGCACCACGGCAATATGAATCCAGTGGTCCCAGTCCTCACGTACCAGCTTCATGGAGACTACCGCGGCTGATCCCTTTACGCTTTCCATAATGTAGTCAATACTGTTCTCCGTTAACACCACACGCATAACGGCGGCCGCACCCGAGCGGTATTTTTCGTACAGTGAAAAAATAGTAAATTGGATCTCAGGCCGCTGCCACGATGTCGGGATCACAAAGTCCTCCCCAAGCTCCGGAAAGAGTCGTTCGTAGAGGAGAACGCTTGTCTCCAACGTCACACCATCCGTCCAGAGTGGCATGCAGCTCTTGATACCGGTAGCTTTTATCGTGAGCGCGCCAACGGGGGAGTCCTTTGCTCCACAGAAGCAGAGGACAGAGGGAGTGAGGGAAAGGGAAGAGTGCGCCTGCGGAAGTCGAAGAAGTGAAGGCATGAAACTACCGCTGCTGTTGTTGTTGTTGTTACTGTTGTTGTTGTTGTTGCTGCTCTCCACCTCAGCTTGAGACACCACCGCGTTGCCCAAGAGAGCGCTGGCACCAAAAATTGACGGCCGCAACGGCACCACAGAAGCAAGGGTCATGCCGCGATGAAATTCTGTGCCCGACAACGGCTGCGTGTAGGAGGCGCCAGAAGGCGACACGTTCGGCACACGCTTGGGCGAGGCAGTCGCAGACGCAGAGGAAGGAACGACCGCGTCGAAAGAAATGCGTCGTGTGAACTGCAGCAGCTGCAGCACCACGGTGGGGCAGACTTCGTACAGGTAGCATAAAGGCAACGGTATCTTCGCCGCCAGGCGAAAGGCAAAAGCGTCGACGTGACTCACAAAGTCTCGCTCAAGAAGAACTTGACTCGCAGCAGGATCATTCATCAGCACCGCCCGCGTGATGCGCAGCAGCGCCGCAACAACGGCCCAAATGAGTGGCGACAGATGTGGTCTCAAGGGAGGTTTAAAGAAGAGCTCAAGTGCGGGGATCAGAAATTGAAAGAGCACCTCCGCCCGTGGAAGTGTCACCTCCTCATGGGAGGAACTGATGAGACTATCAAGCGCAACCTCGCGTTCTTCCACAAGGGAGTACAACGTGGACGGAATCAGCGTTGCACTGTTAGACTGGGTGCAGCAGTCGACGATGTATGCGTCCTCGGTGGAGGAGAGCATGTTATCGACACTCACCTGGACCTTTTTGCCGAGACTCAGGGGAACCGTCGGTGGCCCGCCAATGGCGTACATCCAGACAAGGAGCCGGATGCTGTTTGCGCGGGCGGCCTCCTCCTCCTCCGCCACGGCGACGGCGCCAAGGTCGCACTGGTACGTCTCACAGAGCGTCTTAAACGAGTCATCCCAGGGTGGCCGGCACACAAGCTTGTGGAAGGCATCGACACAGCGCAGCCCCATCTCGCTGAGGCCAGCGCTGGATATCGCAACACAGCGAAGCACAAAGGCCAAGAAAAATCCGAGCGTTTCGCCACCTGTGCGTGAGACACGAACCGCTTGACGCGTCAAATCCATCGTCTCCTGCGCAACGAAAAGTGAATCGGCAGTCGCTGGTTGGCAATGATAGAGAAGCAACGCGCCCGTACTGATGCAAACCTCCACCAAGTTGAGTGTGGCAATACTCGTCGCTGTGGCTGTAGCCGTGGTCGTCGTCGTCGTCGTCGTCGTCGTCGCCACCGTGGACGATATTGTTGTCAAGAGAATTTTCGCCACAATGCCCAGTCGAAATGCGAGAAGCGCCAGCTTAGGGCATGTGCCTCCGTTGCAGAAGAATCCCTCTGGTAGGCTCCGAGAGACCGTGCTGGCAAGCGTGCAAATCAGGCTTACCTGCTCCAACACGCGGTCCTGAGCAGGGTAGCAGGTCTGTGAAGCGTAATTGGCGCACCTGTGCAACTCCAACTCCAAGACCTCAAACAACCCATCAAGGAAAAGGGCACAACCACGCCGTTCACAGAGTGACAAGGAGGTATCTCCCAGTATCCTTGCAGCCTGTTGACCCAAGGATTTGAGCGTCATAAGGGATTCCATTAAAGCATACTCGTGTGGAGTGCGCTGCAGCGAAACCTCATTAGCGTCATCCTCTACAGTTCCCGGCGAGCTGTTGGACGCGGCTTTTTGCTTCCTTGCATCTCTGGCGGTGTGCCTATGTGAACGCTCTGTAGACCGCTCCTGACGCAGGCGTTCCAAGTCCGTCTGTTCAAATATGCTGCAAACAGCCTCAAAGATCACCTTCACGACATGCAGGTGTTCCAGGTAGCAGAAGTCAGCGGGCAACCACATTCTGTTCAGCACCTCACTAAGGGTAGAAAGTTGGAATGAGGCACTACTACGCATTGCCTTCTTGGGGCTCGTTTCCACCTGTTCACCGCCATCGTCTATCCCTGGAAGCGGCGACCCCGCTGTGGCATCGCGCAGGCGGCGAAGGATGTCATACATTGTCCGACGAATAGCACAACGCGTGGAGTCCAGGCAGCCAGAGAGACCAGCCTCAAAGTGCCGTTGCGAACCCACAGAACCCCTGAAAAGTAGTGAGGCAACTTTCAATGCAGCTGCGGCATCTGTCTCAAAGAGTTGCAGCATGTGACGAAGCCCATCCAGACGCTGAAGGGCGGTCGTTTGACGCGCCTGAACAGCCACCTGCAAGCCCGACGCCGTTACCCCCGGAGAGAGGATGACGCGCTCCACGAGCTTCAAGGCAGGATCAATTTGCAGGAGTGGCCAGCCATTTAAGAACGCCCCATGGTACATCCGCTGTGCCCGCAAAAGAAATACCGCCCGCCTCCACCTGCCACCTCTCGATGGCTCCTCGCCAAGTATCTTGTCGGCGAAGGACTGAGCGAGAAAGGTGGACGTCATCCTTAAGAACTCGGCCTCCGATACTCTTCTGATTCGCAACAACAAGAGGCATCGACTCTGCACATCACTCACATCACGTGAAAAGTCATTCGGGTTTTTGGAGCGCCTATTCAACAGCTCATTCCTCGTGCTTTTCAACCGGAGGAGTGTTTTTGCGAGCAACTGATGCTGCTTCTTGTCCGAGAGACAATGAAGCTGCACACCACTCAGGTGGACAACCGCAACGGCAGCCAGTGACATGGCAGCTCCCAATCCCGTCGGCGTCTTTGATGCAAGTGGATCGTCTTGCTTTGCAATGGCCTCCCACGTGGAGCGTTGTTGCTGCAATTTCCCAATGATGGTGGTGTCTATATTGTTACCCACCTTACTTGCCGGGCGCAACCCGGCAGCTAAGAGCGGATGATCGCATATCTCTTGAAGGACGCTACTACTATTGTCGCATGCCTCATGAGACGGTTTGGCTGTTTCCGACGGCCCTGCAGGAAGCTGTCCCAGCGACATAAACGAAGCCACCCAGGATGATGCGAGAAGCAAAGCATTATCCAAAGCTGGAAGCGGCCAAAAACCAGCCTTGTCGAGGTTCATCGAGGTATTCTCACGGATCAACTGCAACAGGGCACGGTAGTGGACACGAAGCGAGCACAATTTTTGCAGCAGCCACTCCGACTCATCGCGTGTTACCATGAATGGTAGTGCCGTGATGGCCGTGTGTAGTGGAAATCCCACGAAGGAACTACTCAGCACATCAAGGACCATCGTTAATGTTGCTGTTGCTGCTGTTGTTGTTGACGGCACCACGGTGCTCGGCCGTTGGGGTGACGCTGCCGGAAGTCGCTGAAACAGTCGCTTAAATACCATTTCAGCGGTGTTAAACAACTCCACATAATAATCCTTCAGCACGACGCAAAGGTCTGTCGGCTGGGGAAGTGAAAAGATATTTTCGATTCCACGGCGTGTTCCAGTGCCACCCATGTCAAGCACCCCAGTGCCGTCGCATTGGCTAAAAAGCAACAACTGCAGTGTCCCAATGGCCTCGGCCATCGCGGAGAGGAGACCCAGCCGTTGCTGTCGCGATTCGTTTGAGATCTGGGAAGTCATCTGGCTAGCTGACTCCGCCAATAGGGTGGAGAGGGTTCTCTTAATCAGAATGAGTTTCTGCTCCATGGAGTCGGCGGATTTGTGCTTTCCATGCATGAGCTCGCCGCGCGTGCTCGAGTTCCCTTCATGCACCAAAGCCGCAGCCGATGTCATGTCTGTGAAGCTCTTTACAATGGCGTCAAGCAACACGTTAAGAGCTGGAGACTGTGATGCGTTCTGCTGGTCACGGCCTAATATTTCTTGCAGCAGTGTTGCTCGCACGGCTGCGCTTGGGAAAAACAACGTCACTCCCTCCTGAATGATGACACTGGCAAGTACAGCCAGCTCCATCGGCAAATTTAAACCAGCCTCGTTGATGATATCCGCGAGGACACCAAGCAGGCTGGTTCCACGCTTTCTTGAAAAGGTGTGCCCGCTATCCACTGAATCTGCGTTTTGGCCTGCTGTTGCGGCTGAGATTGAGGTTGAGTTTGAGGTGGTTGCTGCCTTGTGGGACGCCGACGCCGACGCCGACGCCGACGCCGCGGACCCCTCGCGCTCCTGCCACGAGGTGTTGCGCCTGCGCTGGGCGATACTCAACTCATGAAGCAGCCCGTGAACGTCATCGCTTCCGCCGACCTCGGAGAAGCCAATCGTGTCAGGGTGCAGCTTGAAGTCTCGCACGCGTCGAATCAACCGCACCAACACCCGAAGTGTGGTGTAAATCACACTGGAGGAAGTACTGTCTTTTAAGTTTGCCGCACGACGCGCATTCATGGCCTTCACAGCACGACAGTGCTCGCAGAGAAGCTGCTGCACCTCCTGCACACAGCGAATCCCCACATCGTCTAGAAGAGGACTAAAGAGATGATTGTCCAAGTCGGTGCCACTTGCCTCTGCGAAGGTGGAGAGGAGACCCAGCAACCACATTGCCAGGGCCCCAAACGTAAAGTTGGTTGTGTCCCTATTAAGGAGGAGGTGCTGTCCACCACTTGAACTCGGTTCCCCCTGCAGAGTCCCATACGAGGCCCCACTGCCCTCCACGCACGATGGTGCCCCATTCGCAGTGTCACACCTCGGGGCGTGGGAGCCACGAAGACACGTCAGTGTGCCCTTTTCCTGTACGATGGCGGAAATGCCCGAAAGTGTTCCCACCGCTACAACCTGTTGTTGCACTTCGCCACGCGCGCCAGGGTTCATCCCTGTCTGAAACAACTCCCAATACTGTCCATCCTGGTCGCATGCGAGAAAGCCAAGCTTACTTCGCTGTCGCAGGACATAAGAACCGTACAACTCACGTCCTGTCCTAACATCGAAGAAACTCACCTGATGCACGTGCTTCCACTCGGCAAAGCCGGGAATGGCTCGCTCCTTCTGCTCCATTAGCCCAATTTGGGCCCCATTAAACAACACATGCGTGTGCTCCATATGGGGCGGTTCAGCTGTAACAGGCATGGCGGCCCCGGCGGATGCACCGCTCTCTCGCGGTGAGGGCAAAAAAGGGTGGTCAAAACACCCGACACGCGCAAACTGCCCCCGAACAATCGCATAACGACCAAGTGCCGCACCTGCTCGAACATGATTGAAAACAACATTGCCATTTGGTTCATTAAAAAAATATTGGCATAAAAGCCCTGGTTCATCCCCAGACAAGAGGCGATGCGAGTCACGGACAATCTCACGAAGCGAACGGCCGCCTCTCCACACGCGCAAGGCAGCTATTTGGCAGACGCAATCATTACCAGCCGTCCATCGCTGTCGAGGATTTTCTAGGGATACTTGTGGTCCCTGCCGGGTGCATGAAACCTCTTCGTCGTCAAGACACAGACGCCAATTTCCATCAAATATCAAGGCAACGTGTATAAAACGGGACTCGGAAGCCGGACTAACAGGAGCCGTGACGACGCACATGCCACGGGAATCATGTCGGTATCCACCACGTATGCGCCAGGCCCCTTCAAGCCTTGCTGTCTCGATGAACACCTCTCCACTGGTGCTTCGATCCCCATGCTGATACAGCACGGAGGTGTCGTCCTTCTCGAGTATTTTAATCCAAACCTCCACCGTGATGTGGCCCCCAACGGTGGTTAGGCATATCTCTGGTGAGCCAAAGTCAATCAAGCTCCCCTTGCGAAGCGACAAGCAGTAAGCGAGGGTGCGGTCAAAAGGGGCAAGTTGAAGCGGCGTGCGCCACTGCACCTCGGGAAAACTGCTGGAGGCAAATACTTGCATCTCCAGCCCAACAGGAGAGGAAGTATTGGCGTCCGCAGCAGCCCCGTTTGGGGCAGCCACCACGTCGTACAGAAGGACTAAGCGGTCTCCTGGACCGGAGGCAAGTGCCATGTAACGGGAACTCACCGGCCACTGAGGGGCATCGGTGAGTGCGACCTTTTGTCGCACCTCCAACGTCGTGCTGTACGTTACTACGGCGAGTCCGGCGGAAATCATACGATTGGTCAATAGCAATAGCATACCTGCCTCAGAAAAGGCAATGCTAGAGCGTGAGCACTGGGAACAGCAATCTGGCGGTTCATTTGTGGAACACACAAGTGCATACATCCCAACCACATTAGTGCGTTTGCTAAGACCATCAACAGAATGAATGTAAACCGCCCCACGATTATAACCTACCGAAAGTATCTGTAAATTGAAGTCGCGACCAAACGGGGCAAGTTGCTCTGTGTCTTCTTCAATGGTATCGTAAGCCTCGTTAAGTTTTGGAAGCTGTCTCTTGGGCGTGAGAGCCGATTCATTTGACTTCAACCAGTCCAATGTGGCCTGTGACACAACGTTTGTGGGTAGACGCAACAGGTACCGCACGCTGCGTAGAACCTCACTTATGGCGCCACACTGAAGCGAAAGCAATACCAGAAGTTCTAGCAAAGCAGGAGCAACATTGCTGTCTGAGTCGTCGTGACTAATGTGGTTCATGGTAGTTTTGGAGTTGCCTTGGATGGCATTGGTGGTATGGATGCTACCATTATTGTCATTTATGCTATTATTTGAAAGGGCCTGCTCAAGCAGCTTTGCCGCACTATCCAGGGCCTGTCGCATCACCTCTGGGGAGATGGAGTTCCCCACAGAGTGCGGCGACGAGGACGCCTCCCCAAGACTAAACAGAGTGGCGCCGCGAAGGTACTCTTGGAGGTTGTGCAGCAGAGGCAACATGGTGGCGCCCGCCAGAGTCATGCTGGCGTGAGCAAACATGTGGATAAGCACCAACGCCCCGCAGTTGAGAGCGACGTCCATCCCGTCGCGGGAAGCTGCACGACGGCTTGATAATGCATGCTGCTGCTTGCGCAGCGTTTCTGCTGTGATATTTCGGTCCAGAAACGCTTCAACCGGCGTGACGCCACCACCACAATACCGCCGCACGGCCTGAATGGCCCGAAGCACAACCGTTAGTCGTGCAGTTGCAGCCCGCGCCGTTTCGTACTCCTCGGATATGGGGGCGGCCTCATCCAAGGGAACGGAAGAAAATGCAGCGGAGCCCTGTCGTCGTACCCACCTCCCGGGTTGTCCTCCCTTTTCATTGAACAGGGAACTGAAAACGTAGGAGTCAAGCGGCACCTTCTCCAATTGATTGGGTGTGAGAGGCAGGTAGACGGAGGCGTGTGGAAAGGCGGAGCGCTCAATCCAGTTCAGCTTCTTCGCGTGACGGTCGTGCACTTTGTGGTACTCAAAGCGCAGAAACTGGTGACGGTAGTGAAGCGAGATGGCGGGGTACACCTCGGGCGCAATGTTGCTGATCTCACCAACAACTGACTTGTCGCCCACGCGCACCGTCATGCGTGCCGCCTCGTAGTCCAAGACAAACACCACGCGGTCACCGGCGCCAAAGACAACACTGGAGTTGTTGTCCTGTCGCCTCCAATGCCCGTAAAACTTTCCCGCACGGCTCAGGCACCAGCCACCCCCCTGTGAGATGAATGAGTCGTACTTGGCAAAACTCTTCGGCACGATACCCAGCATCAACCCGCTGCCATCCGTCGTCTCACCTTGGTGCTCGATCTTCACACACCACTCGTGTACGCCGCGACGGATCCCCTCCGTCACCTGCAGCGTAATCCAGCCGTTGCCGGGCTTCATCGCAGAGGCCTCCGTGATGATGACATCGCCACGCGGAGTGGTGGTGTCAATAAGAAAATTCCTTCTTGGGGCAGAGCTGCGCTCCACCACAAGCTGCATTTGTTCCACAAAGTTTACCACGTCCGCCGGGTCATGCAGTTGACCCTGCGGGCCATTCGCCATACGTAAGTACTGCACGCTAAGCTCGTCCATCGCCAGAACACATACAAACGCACACACACACACACACAAGCAAACAACTCAATAAACCGAATACCTCAAGTTCCGTAGCTGCCTACGAAGCACGTGAGATATCAACACTAAGACAAAAAAGTAATGATAACCACAACAATAATAGTAATGAACACCGGCGGATACTGCTATCTCTCCTCCCTGTGGAAAACAAACGAACAAAACAGGGCAAAACACCCTCCGTTCTTCCCTTTATTTGTGGCGTGGGAAGAAGAAAAGAAGAAGCAAAGGAAGAGGAAAAAAAACAGTATAAGAAGAGTTGCTCTTCATGTGAAAAAGAGAAAAAGTGGCAGGGCGAGGAAAAGAAAAAGCTGCAAGACAACCGTGGCGAACAAAAATCCGCATTCCTCTCTACCTTTAGCGTTCATTCCTCACCACACACAGTTATTGCGCCGCTGGCGTGTTTGCTCGCATTGTGAGGGAAAAAGGATTCGAACGCCTCAATTATATGTTCGGCTCTGCTCAAGTATCTTTACAACGGCGGAACAAAAGATATTACGTAGGCATCCACACACAGTAAATACGACCGCACGTCAAAGAGAGAGAAAGCAAAGGAGTGACCATGCCCACAGGGGCTTCCACTAAACAGCCGAGGCGGCGATGGCGTCCTTGAAAGCCTTCAGGGCCTTTTCAGCGAGCTCCTTGGAGGTGAACCGCATCACAAAATTCTCGGGGAACCCCTCCTCATCGTCGGTGTAGTCCTTGTGCGCCATCCACAGCAGCGCCTTTTCGCTCTGGGGGTGAAACTTCACATTCATTGACTTGAGAAGATAGTGCTGCGCCGCCAGCTTGCCGATACCCTCGCGGCGGAAGACGAACATGTACTTGCCTTCTTCGTCCTTCCGCTGCAGTATCTTCGCCGTGCCCTGCCCGCGCTCCTTCCACTGGTTCTCGCCCTCGTCAAACCGCAGCAGCTTCGCCGACTCCTGCCACACGATGGTGTACTTCTCCTCGCCGCTCTGAATGTCCACCGGGGCAAATCGGGCGACGCCGCCGTCGGACACCGCCACCTCCTCAACTTCCACCAGCTCATTGCCGCTTTTATCCTCCGCCATTGGTGCCTGCCGTAGAACAACAACAAAAGAACAAGACACTTATCCTACATTGGCACGAGGGCAGAAGAGAACAACAGAAGAAGAAGCCATAAAAAAAATAAAAAATAAAATAAAATAAAATAAAACAAAGGATGGTCGTTAGAATATGTACGAGTTGAAAAAAAAAAAAGACTTCGCCGCACACGCACACGCAAGCACAGAAACAATGGGACGCCCAGCCTTCAGAGATCAAGAAACTCAGCCAGCTGGGTAAGCGAAGATGTAGCAGTGCAAAGTGTGTCATCGCAGCATATGGCCCTCATTGGAGACGAAAAAGTTTCATGCTGTCGCTTCCGCCCCTGCCGCCCCGTCATTGTTGTGGACTTTGCCCCGGAATTAAGGACCTCCTCGTGGTGAGGTGACGCGTTCCACGTGGATGAAGCACCGATACAAAACCCGCTTCTTTTCGGTGGAAACAAAGTATCCGCCTCTTTAGCATCGTTGCTAGACAAGATGCAGCGCCGCCACGTCCCTGCGTCACCCCTCACTCCATCCGAGACCGCTAAAAAATCGTTCACGTATGGTCGTCGCAAAAAGGGCCCAAGTCGCTGCAGCACTATTAGGCCGCGGCAGGGCTTGTAATGCAGCGGTGTAACAGACATGGGACGCAGCAACGCGATAAAGTCGATGATTTGCTGCGGTGTGGAGTGCAGCGTAGTTGATATTTCCCACACAGACGTTTCTTCGGCTGCACCGCCGCGTCGCCGGAACAGGGCCCATCCAGACATGACAATACCGTAGTGCGGTGTGCCACCGTTTCTTTCGGCGGCAGCCTGAAGTTCTTCAGGAGCGATTTGCTTCAGCGAAGAGACCACCTCCACGCGAGGACAGGTACTACAGTTTGCATAGGTCACAAAGCGATCCATGTCAATACAAAATCTTTCATCGACCTCCGCAATTATTTCATTAAACGAAGCAAGAATACGAATACGCTCGTACCTGGCCTCGTCAACGACGACTGGAACAGCAAGCCTTGTTGCGAGACGTTGAACAAGGTGCTCCTTACCAAACTGATTGTGCAAGTACACACGCAACACGTACGGACCACGGAGCTTATTGGGAGAGTTTTTCTCCAGTGCATAGTCACGCACACGTCTGTCCATGCGACGACCAACTGCCTCCATTGCCTCCTCCAGCTCCAGCTCCGACAGAAACTTGCTTAGCACCCTCGTGCCTTCGTTGCCCGTAAGCGAGAGAGGCACCTCGTGGAGACCCAAATGCAGCCATGTGTCATCCAAGTAGACATGATCCACACGATGATTGACAAAGAAGGGATCCAGACGGCGTCTAGCATGCTCGTCATACTTGAAATCCCCCGTGTAGAGAACATTGCCGCTGGGTGTTTCGAGGAAAAACATGACACTGCCCGGGATGTGGAAGGCGGGTAAGAGATACAGCGCCACTGTCCCCTCCTCACCAACGCCGGCGTCGCCGTCATCGCTGTGGACAGGGTTAACTTGATTCAACAATTCATGCCTCCCTTCTCCAACTCTCGGGCTGGCCCTGGAGCAAGAGTTGTTTGTTGTCCCTCGCAATAAGAGTGTTCGTTGGAACAACGGCAATGACATCGTGCGCTTATCCAGGGCAACCCCGTATTTATTGACAAGCAGAGCCTGCGTCACCGTGTCGCTGATAATTAGACCCGCACTCCACGAAGGCGAAAGCCCCTTCATATGATCCGTGTGAAAATGAGACAGCAGATACACGGCATCGGACGCGCCGTCCGCATAGAATTGGTCAATGTACAGGGGAAATAGGGGCAGCTTCATTGGGCGATGTAGTTATGGCATCCGGCTGGTCGGACTCCAACTACCTGCAAAAGACAAAGTCCAACAACGGCAGAAACAAGAGCAGCAAGAACAACCACACACGTGCTTGTACGTCAAAAACTGCGAGGGAAAAGAAAATCCAACCACAATCTGTATATCCATCCCCTCTCCCCCACCGCTGACCCCAACGCTGTTCCTTCACACCTCCCCCAGCTCTACAGGAAACCGTGCCCCAAACACTTTGCTTGCCGCATCTTAAGAAGAAAGAACTCGTCTTCGTCCAGTAACCTTTCTGAGGCACCCAAGCGATTCACTGGAAATGAATGTCAAAGACCATCATGAAGCCCTTACTCAGAAGGATGTGCGTGTCAATAGAAAGCCGCAGAAGGCTCCCATGTATAGCAGGGGGTGGAATACATCTTAGCGGGCCCGTCATTTAAAAAACACCAAGGAATCGCAGCCGCCCTGCTGCACGATGCATCGGTGACAAAAAAAACCCAGGAAAGGCGGACGCAATTTAACAACCACCTGGAGCGCCACAACTGGCCACTCGTTAAAAAATAAATAAAATAACAAACATAACAAACAAGCAAAAACAAGTTTCGGGAAAACTAATGAATAGGGTCAGCGCCAGTGCAGGAGTGACCTCTCACGTCATTATCCCTTTCTCATTGCAGGTGTCGGTGTATGCGCTATTGTGCGGTCACCAGTTACCCAGCGAGTTTGGAAGGAGTCTCACCTCAGTTCTCAGCGCACGGCTCTTCCTTCGCTGCCGCCCTACTTCCTGTTGTTGTTGCAGTTGCAACAGCAACGGCGGCATCAAGAGGCACAGCACCCCCGCACAACTGCAGCGTCTCCCGTCATGGGGTTGCAGGTAGAGGGGGGCAGACGGAACGTGCGTCCTCACAGCCCTTTACAGTTTATTCCAAATACCACCTTCCACCCAAGGATGCAGAAAGGCACGAGTATTGGGGGAGGTAACACGGGAAAAGAAAACCGTGGGCTAAAGCAAGCGCCTCAAAACTTTAAAAAAGTTACCGAATGCATGTAGCGCAGTCAAGAAGCGAGTTGTTCACACACACACACACCTTTTTTGTTGTTGCTGTTTTCCGAGGAGAAGCTGCTTCGTGTTATTGTTCCGTACTGATCCTCGTGCTCCTTGCTTTCAAAAAGCAGCCACGTAGCTGGAAGCGGAGG